TTTGTGTATTGAGAGCTCTTGTGAAAGGCCCTGGAGAGTCCTTTACCAAACACTCGCAAACTTCCACGTGCCATTTGTTGACTAAGAGCCGCTGGGGCTTTCTTTAAAGACACCATGGGGGTGCGTGTGGAAATCTCCCCACTTATGGGTGCGTGAGAAGGGGGAGATGCGCCGGGCACCCAGCTTTGTTCCGCTGCCCACGGAGGGGCTGGTGCTTTTCGCTTTATTTTGGTTTGTGTTTTGCAAAGGCAGCGCCCCTTCAGTAGCTGCCAGAAAACCAAGGGGGGAAAGTAAGTAAATGACTTCGCTGCTCTGACCACACACCACAAGTACATTTGTTGAATGCCGGACTATTAAGACACACCTCAGTAAACCCTAAAGCAACCCCTCAGCGCGTGCATTTAAGGTTACACTGGGAGCACCAGTCTGAGCTCAGGGTGTCCCGATCGTTGCTGGCGAGTGGTCCGCTGAGGGGGGAGGACGGTCCGCACAACAAGGGGGGGCGAAGAGGGGAGAGAAGGGGGACGCTGCGAGGAGGAAAAGTGGAGCGGAGGAACGCGCGGCGCATGAAATGAAGTCGTAGCCGCATACACTTGACTTCTCTTGACATGTGAAAAGTGCTAAAAGTCAAAGCTCATCAATAAAGTATCTTGAAATTGAATAAGAGCCCTGACAACCATTGCGGGCTCAAATAAAGTACAATGAGGAGACAAACGACTCTGCCAAGGAGTTTGCATGGGAGTGAAAGGACGCCTCAATAGGAGCTGGATAATGGGCTGCCCGGCCGTCATGCACTGTCATCTCCAGTCCTGCAGAGAAGCTGCCACCGCTCCTAATAGCACAAAATGGGCTCTTAAGAGACTACTGGCTTTTTCCTCCCCCCTTTCCTCGGGTGCCATTCTGCCTTGATGCTGATGCTCTCTAATGCGTGGTTTGGGGAGAGCAGGGGCTTCTCCGAGGGCTGCCCTTGGAATTCTGGGGGCAGCTGAGCCAAACTCTCCTTTGGCTCACGGGGTGCAGGGGAAGGCAGAGCTGCCTCCAGGTCGGCGGTCAGGGAGCCTGGAAAAAACCTGCTGCAAACGCCAGTCGGGGAAGGGGGATCCCGCTCCCTTCCCCTTTCCAACACTTTGGGGAGTCTCACCCAGCGCGGCAAGGCCAGGAAATAACACGGGTCCTGTAAGGGGACGGAAGGAAGGAGCCCGGCGCTGCTCTTGGGAACTCAGCGTTTGCCTGGCCACGTCGTTGACACGCAGTTGTACTGGTTCAGGCCTAAGTCAAGCTGCCTTTTTTCCTAGCCCTGCGGATTCATGAAAAACCGGAGCGACGCTCGTGATGGGACCGTGAGCTGTGTGTGTGTGTGTGTCTGTCTGTCTGTCCGTCCATAGGATCTGCCTGGAAGGTAAATTAGGCGCAACAGAATCTGAGGACATGAACAAAGGTGCTTTTCCAACTCTGGCACTGGAGTGTGCCCCGCTCTGAGACCGCGGGCGGGGTAGCACATGTGCAATCACCGACCATACTGTGGTTACTCTCAACACGTCGGTCACCTCCCTCCAGCCCAGCTTCTCAAGCCACCCCAGAGTGGGAAGCCGTTGAGAAAGCGTCCCGGTACCCTACGCACAGGAAACCTCTCTCGGGGGGTTCCCCTTAGTTTCAAGCGCTCAGAGAGGATCTTTCCAAGAGGCAAAAGGGAAATTTTAAAAAAATACACACCAATCTCTTGCTTGTCTCCTTCCCCAGGGGGCTGTTGCTGCTTGCCACACAACTTGGCAAAGTGTCCCGGACAGAACCCAGTTCTGCTAGCTATTGCGGGCCACCTCTGCTTGCATCCTGGAGGGAGAAGTAGCTTCTGGAACTGAAATCGACAAATCTCGGAGGCTCCAAGGAGATTTGAAAAGCAGGGATCTAGTCCTTTTCTGGAGTGAAGTCCGCCGGCTCCTCTCTCTCTCTCTCTTTCTTTCTTACACCCCACCCCCCATCCCAAGGATTTTTTAAAAAATTCTCATCCACGGGGTATTAAGAGGGAGGAAGAAAAAAATTACTTTGTCCGGAATTGCAGACAATATCATTTTTACAACCCCTCAATTAGCCATCCTTTGGATTAGCACCTTCTTAGGCTTCATCTCCAGAATAAAGAAGCCGTAATCTTGTTGCTATTTTCCCCTGGGGCGCAGTCGACTTTGTATCCCCTCCCCAAAAAAGTCCCCCCTCCCCCAAAAAAATCACGAGAGGAGGGAAACTGACGTCATTCTGGGACTGAGGGGGGGGAGGGCTTGGGAAACAGCCACACTGCTACTGATTTAGCAGGACATGGGGGAAAAGGAGCCCCAGAAGCGACCCCCTCCTCCACCAAAAAAGTTGGAAGAAAGAAAAGAGGGGGAGGATCGGAGAAGGAGAGGAGGGGGAGGGGAGAGAACGTGTGTGTGTGTGTGTGTGTGTGTGTGTGTGAGCGAGAGAGAGAGAGAGAGAGAGAGCTCGCCCATATGTGAGCGAGCGAGAGGAGTTTCTTTAGCCGGTGTGTGCCAGTCCCAAGTATGTCCAACTTAGAGCCATTCCTGCCCTGATCGCCTTCCCCTGCAGGGACTGCACCGCCCGGAGGCAGCCCCTTGGGAGGAAACCCTGCTCTCCCGTGACTCACCGTGGCACGCCAGGATCACCAGACCTGTACCTGCTCTAAAATGTACAGACCAGGAAGTCCCCGCAAAGTTGAGGCACAACTCTAAGGACGCCATTTTAACTCCAGCTGCCTGCAAACGCGCCTCTAGTCCCGTTTTCAAGACGGGGCATTTTGTTTTCAGTCCAGGAGGGGTTTGCCAAAGCACAACGCTTCGGGGGGTTAGGCACGCAACGGGGCAGGACGCAGGGCACTTTTTTTTGCACTTGATCTTTAATCCAAGCAGCTCTTTATGGCTACTCCCCCTCCCCAGTCCAGCAAGGCAAATGCAAATCGATGAGCCATTGGTAGGAATGGCCATCCATGTCCCATGGCAGTGAGGAGGGAGGCTTTGTAGCACGGCGGTGGCACGTAGGAGCAGTTTGCTTTAGGAGTCGAGACGCGCTGAGGAAAACGTTAAGATTCACCAGCAATCTCTCTTGTCCAGGGCAAGTATGTCTGAAGGGAGCCGGGCGGCTTGCGTTGAAGTCAAGCAGGTACCTATGTAAATCCGGCTCTCAGACCCGCAGGAGCAGACGCGCAGGATGTAGAGAGATTTCCTCAGCAAATGCACCTCAGGTGGAAATGTTACCACCAAAAGGATCTCACCTCACACACTTACCCTTGGCAGAGGGCTCTAGCCCAGCAGTCCCGGACAGCTCCTACATTACTGAGTTCGAATAGTTTAGAGAGATTGTCTTCCGTGCCTAGCACAGTCACGTGGGACTTTTCAAAAACCTTCTGTTAATTTTGTTAATGACCGAGAGGACCAAACTAGAACAAACAGCGATCTAAGGAATTTCGCGTTACAGCTTTCCAGGGGGCTCCCTTCCCCCAGACCCTAGCCACCCCCATTTTCTGCAAAAGGTAGCGCTTTTTAAAAGACACCTTTCACCACCAAATACGTTTGGGATAAAATAAATCACGTAAACAGCACACATGCCCAAGGATTCCAGTTGCTCTGAGCATGGACTAAACCAGGGGTTGAAAATATGGTTGAAAATACCTCCAAAAGTATTACTGTAATTAGTCATTTACATTTTGGTCCTGTAGTCTGTTTGCATTCACGTCCATTAACCAAAACAAGGTAAGAAAATTTATTTTTTCTGGAAAGGTAAACAGAAATTTGACTAATTTCTTTTCATTGCTTTACTTGATCTTATGATCTGATGTGTATCTATTGATTTGTGTTAAGGACCAGGATGTCGCTCCTTTTTTTAGTCTATTTCTAAGCGTTAGGAGCAGGGATCTCCGAGTTAGGTACGCCTGTATCGTCTTGTTGTATTAATATCTGGGTTAGAAACTACCTTTTTTAATACCCAGAAAAATGCTTAAAGTCTTCTTGTCCAGTTCAGTCTAAAACTGAAGAGATACACAAACCCTGACGTGTTAGACTACAGTGCTTCTGCCTTCGGGACACTGAATGCCTATTTGTATACACAGGAACCGTGCTTGAAACCTCTAGTGCACAGGACATTGAGTTAAGTGGAGCTTTTCTAGTTTATAAACAATCTGCAAAAAGTTTGGAATCGATTTAACCTCTTTTATGTTGGTCTTTTGCATAGAGCACAGCTTTGTGTGCAAGAATAAAAACGTATTTCTGGACCCTAACGAAGTCATGCTGCTGTCTCTGAATCTGGAAGACGAACACACATGTTTCCATACGGGACAGCCTTTGATTCTATATGTGAAAAAATGTCGTGCAAACGGACCTGATAGAAAAGCCTATTTTTAGAGAGAGCGAGCGAGCTAAGCGCATCTTGACGGGCATTTTAAATGCTATTGATTGGGACAAGCTGTTCAAACCTCCCGTAACAGTTAATCTGCCTGTTAATCAAGTCACTAAGGAGCTCAATTTGAGTTTTATTAGCGACTGGAGAACACGGGCAGCAGAACGGATAAAAAGCCTACACTCTTGATATTGGTAAAACCAGTTCCCCCCCAAAATATATTTTCAATTACAGAGTAATTCGTAGCTTATCATCACTTCCTAACAGACACAGACAGATGGCTACACAAACGCTGGCAAGACTAAGGGAGCCAATGAATCAAGATCTTATTCCCCGCAGCTAGAGGCACATTTTAAAAGTGACATTGTTAATATGAACTAGAGATATTTAAGACAATTTGGGCGGATAGATAGATAGATAGATAGATAGATAGATAGATAGGCCTTTTGGATTAGAAGCAAAACGGTAAATCGGTGGGATCTGTGACAACATGAAAATGGTGTAGGTACGTCTTTGGTTGATATAAAGTGTTTTATTTAACTGAAGATTAATTCTCTTTTAAAAACAAGTAGCTTTTATTTGAGTAACTTCCCATATTTCTTCACTCGCACCATTATTTGATGTCACCAGGAAATAAATGACTCAAAGCTTTCATTTCACAATCCGTTACCAGAATTTGGACCATCTGAAAGATGCATTTCAATTAATTTAATAATCAGAAATATTATTACACCTGGTAAAATCAACATTTGATCTTGTCATTTTTAATGCGAGCCAATCGCATTATATGTCAATGAAATATGCATGTAAAAGACTATCTGGTCAGAGGTAATTATGTCACAGCTTTTTCTCGGCATGACAGCTGGATAAACACAATCTCCAATAAACATCTCTAATTAGGGAGGAGGATCTGAGATGGATGGTGTTTGATTTATTACTGAAGGAGAATGTCCATTTATCGGTGTATCAGAGGGAGGCACTGCCGCGAAAACCTTCCTGCTAGAGTACCTTGAGGAATATTAGGAAAACAGGGAGGGTAGGTCAATTGTGTTTCCGGATTTCCATTTTGAGTTTTTTGAAAAGCTCTCGTGAGCTCCCTACACTTGTCTACCTACAGTAGAGGGATTTTTAGTGCACACCGCAGAAGTTACCAAGGAAAGATTGCGATTGTGAGTTAGGGTCTGTTTCCATTCACAGGTTCTACAGAACTTCCGTGCGCTCACGAATTCGGGCTAGCCAAAGTAGCTACCCCTCGGAACAGCTCCCAATCAGATCTCGAAAGTATAAAGCGGAGGAACTAGACTCAAAGGCAAAAAGGCGAAACATTTGAAGTGTGCAGCCCACTTCCCCCTCCCCTCCTGCCTCCAGCTAGACCACTTTTAGCTCTCATTTCCAAATAAAACTGCGCTTCCGTGGGGGCGTTAGAAAATGCGACTGAACACTGAATCCCCCCCCACCCGCCCCCAGACAACATGCAAACCAAAATCGGTCCGTTCACTTACAGGGGTAGCGTGGAAACTTCGCCCCCCAACCTACGCTGAAACTTTAAAACCGTCCCGTGTTAGCTTCTGAGGCTGATTCGCTGTGGAAGGAAATAGCAGGGCGGCTTTGGGAGTGCGTGTGTGGAATGACACGCATGTGCATGCACGGCAGGGCTGAGCAGGGCTGTCTGGATCGACACACCTGCACAGCCTGAGTGTGAAACACACCTCGCAGCGCACGCAAGGCACCGGGACCGGGCTCGCCTGAGAACCAGCCAGCCAGTTTCTAAGGATTCGCGGTTTCCTGCGCTGCGCCCTGTAACTTATCAAACTCGCCAAGGGCCCGGGGCTCGCTGTGGCCACAGCCGGCCTGGAAGCGAGGGCAGGGTGTGACCGGGCTTAGTGTAACTTGAGTCCCCGCCGTTCTACCTCAGTGCAAATCGCTAATGATCAGGTCTTCCCGAGCAAAGCGCAGATCACACGGTCGGGAGATTTAAAAGGCTACCCAACGCCGTGAGCCGCATTCTTGCATTTCTAGCTGAACTCCGAGAAGCGAATCAAATATTGATAGCGCCCGGCCGCTCAAGTACCCACACTCCCCGGAAGCGTGGAAAGTTTCAGACTCAGTTTCCAAACAGACGAGTTAATTGCTCGAGATCACAAGGGGCATCCCCTCCCCACCTGTTGTAGAGTGGGGTTTGCAAAACGTTACAAAAAACCTACACAAAAGGCGAGAAAACGGATACAGAGTGATGAAGCCTACACGAATAACTGAGTTGCACCAGAAGTGGCCGTGTTCGCAACCAGCGGTGAACAGGAGCAAAAGTCTTCCGCCCAAATATGCGAGACTTCATTCTCAGGCCAGCTAATATAGACACTGATGTATTTTGTAAGTACCAGAAAAGAGCACAACTTTAAAACAGTCCCTGTACTCGGCCCATTTCAAAGACAAACAGAGGAACACAGACACAGCAAAGCAGGCAAAAGATTCAGCGAGAGAGAGAGGGTCGGATTATTATTTTCAGAGCAAGCCAGTGGCACTAGTAATGACTGTAGAAAAGGAGTATAAAATGTTACCTGGAACAGAGAGTGCAGACAGATGAACCTGACCTGCCGATTCCCACACTATTACCTTGCCGATTGTAGATAACTGGCAGGTTTGATCGCCAATTTCTACATAAGAATCTGCCACACAGTTTAAATGTCAATGACAGTAAAAAAGAGGGTGTCTTGCTTTGCACTAACTTTCCCTTAATATCAACGCCAGCGCCTCCCCTATTGGCTGGGCGGCCGCGGTGACGTCATGGAGGACAGTAGTTAGAGCTGAGCTAATAAGAAATTTTAGATAACAACGGGCATATAGGGCCTAAACCCTTTCCCCCA